CCTCCCAACTAGCAGCCATCAGTTGTTCCTCTATATCTCTGAGACCACTTCTGTTTACTTTGCTCGTTCATTCAGTTTTAGATTCCACGTGTAAGTGAAATCATATGGTATTTGTCTTTCTCCGACTGACTTATTTCACTTAACATAATAGTTTCTAGGTCCATCCATGTCGTTGCAAATGGTACGATTTCATTCTTCTTTATAAAAGTGGCGTGTTTATAATCATTCACCTGGGAAAACTCAGGTTCTGAACTGTGAGCCCCCTGAGGGCAGACAATGCCTTGTTCACTCATGTATGGCTGATGCCCAAACCAGACACACTCGGTGCTCAGTAACTATTAGGTTGTCGGAAAAGTCATGACGCATTTTTGCAATGAACATAGAAAAAAGACGTCACGAATTTATATCACGACAATATTAAAATAAACAAGGTATTTTTTGTCTCCATACCTCTAGGCCTTACCCAATTCTTTTCCTGTATTTTCCTGTCACACATCTCAGAAGAGTGGTCTACTGTTAATACGAGGAAGCTCAGTGCCACAGGACCTTTCCTCATAACCTCGCACCGCCTCCTGCCATCAATTACAATGTCCTGATGTCTTCCCCCTCTGTCAGCTCTCCTCTTTCCAGGTGGTTACGCTCAAGCCTCAGATGAGAAGGCACTTTGCTATTTCTGAGTCCATCCAACTTTCTATCAGTTCTATGAAGATGATTTATAAATCTCTCTCTAGCCCTGACTCCTCTCCTGAAAACTCATATTTCCAACTTCCTCTTAGTCAAGTCCATGGAGATTCTTTTTTTTTTTTAAATGCCAAATCTTCCTCACTTCATTCATGGTTTCTCTATTTCAATACATGGCACACCCATTTTCCAGATATTTTTAGAAGCAGTACTCCTCAGTTCCAAAATTTCAATGGTTTCCTATTGCTCTCAGGAAAAAGCTCCAATTCTTTTGACTGGCACTCATGGTTAAACACATCTTACTGTAACTTAGCTTTGGGGCCTACTCAACCATCAGTCCCCTATACAAAATTTCTGATCCATCCAAATGGGCCCCCATCATCTGAAAAAACACACCCCTCATAGTGTTTCCTTTCAGGAAATTTCTTTTAGGAAAATCAACCTAATTGTAGGAAAATTCTTCCTAATACTCCTCACCAATATGAAGTCTTCAAAGTCCAGCTCAAATGACAACTTTTTCTTGCTGTCATTTTGGATAACAAGGAACATATTTTGAAAACCATCATGTAGTTCTCAACAAAATAGTTGCCCTATGTGAGGCATGACCACAAAGTAATGAGATTGGTCTTGACAAGAAATAGAGTCGCTTCTTTATCCTTAAACCACATATTGGGTTGTCAGAAAAGTCATGACGTATTTTTTCTGTTTTTCGTTGCAAAAATGCGTCATGACTTTTCCGACAGCCCAATGTTTTGCATCCCTAAGTAAAATAAGCTCCTTTTAATTTCTCTTCCCTTTTCACCACATGCCCCCACCTTCCTACACACCCAGCATTTGCCCAGAATATCTATTCAATATCTGTCAATTAACTGATATACAGTGAAGCTAACAATGCCTACCTCAAGCGGCTCTTCTATGTATTACATTCATTATTNGTAAAGTTCATTTTGGATGTAGCCAAAGGGAGTGGATGATCAAGAGTATGAAAGCCCTGTTGAAGGCATACTGGACATATGGGTGGCAGCTCATATTTTCCATTTGCAAAAGTAAAAGGCTATGCCCTCATTTTAATAGGCATCCTCAGACACTAAAGCTCAGAAAACTGGCCAGAACCCTTTATTTTCACTGTCCATAACTTAAGTATATAAACTCTTGCTCTGAAATTCTAGATTAAAACGAGCTAAATGAGTGGTTTTCTGCCTCCTGATCTAGGAACAGCCTTGGCTCAAAACAGATTATTTAACTGACCTGTGTCAAATTTAGCTTAAGTCAGATTATATTAGCTTGGGTTTTTCTCATGGATGTTTTCAGTCACCTGTCCTATACAAAGACCGAAGGGATTTGTTTTACATTTTGCTAGTTTAGGCTGCCTTTTTGTTGGTCTTAGGTTAGAAATGTTTTCACATCAGCCAAATACTTTCATCATCTTAGCTAAGGAATGAGGCAGGTCAAAAGTTCTTATAAAGATAAGAAGCATTTACCTTTGCTTGCCCGATGTTTACTTGAAAAAGAAATCACAGGCTTGACCAAGAATCAACCTGTTGAAATACACCGGTGGTTGTGGGTACTTTTTCAGCTGGTTATTGTTTCAACACAGAATTGACCTAGAACTTGGTTGGGCCCTAACTGGATCAGCCCTTCAGATGGAGCCTCATCCAGGTGCTTGGTTCTCCATATTACGGGCAAGGTGATGACACAGCTACTGTGGGAAGGTACGAGCCAGCTCTGCCTACCTTTTGGTCCACAGTCCCCAGTCTCATTTTGGTGGTTTCCCTGCCTGCTGATGAGATAATGTAATACAAGACCCCAACCCCCGCAGATCTTAGTATGCCTTGCCTTAAACCCTGACTCTCCTAGAAAGGCACTTACCTCTTAAAAGGCAGCCACACTTCAGCCAGTTTGATAAATGCAATTTAAAAAAAAAAAAAGAAAGAAAGAAAAACCCTAACAAATCAGGTAAAGTCCTAAATCAGACAAACTGCACAAAAGAGATGAAGAGATGTCCATGAGAAAGCTGGGCTGAGCCTTAGAAAAGCATGGCCCTTCTCTCTCATAATGCATTACTCTTAACCGAGCACGCTAGGAGCTGGCTTCTGTTCCAGCTGCAGGGGATGCTGCTAAGGCTGTGTCCAAGAGCCCGAAGCAGCTTCTGTCAGCAGGTTTAGTTCAGCAGCAAAAGTCATCCTGGCGGAGTCCCATGGTCCTGTTAGCGGAGGCTGCTGCTGCTGCTGGCCTGAGAGCTGCCCATACTTGGGTGGTCTGGACTGTGTCGGTTCTGGGGAAGACAAAGGAGGGGTAAGAGAACAACTAGGAAGTAGCCTTAGCCTTGATCAGGGCTGTACAGGAAAGCACCGCAAGCTGCCCTGGGTCCGACCTGAGGCCATGGACTCTACGTAGGGCCGGGGTGAGACACAGGGAAACTCACTGGGCTGCAGCAACATGCCTCTACCCTACCTTCTTCTTCTTCTTCTCTTTCTTCTTCCTTTTTCGTTCAGGATCCTCCTCTTTTTTCTTTTTCTTCTTTTTGTGATCCGAATCAGATGGTGTTTCTGTAGGAGACATTAAGTGCCTATCACCTGTAGAGCTCAAAATTCCCTCCTTCTAGGACTTTGCAGCCTACAGAAAAGCCCTAGTCAGAAGCCAGTGCTTTTCTTCAAGCACCCAGAGGCTCCGGAGGCACTGCTAAGGCCCTGTCCCAAGATCCTACTTGCCCAGGATTTTTCAGGAAAATGTGGGAGTCCAGGGCTCCATAAGGAAGTGAACGGGGTTTTTAGCTGAGGAAGGCTGAACCAGATTCAGGACGTCAGGTGTTCTGGTCTGGAACAGAACTGCTGCTTACCTGGGGGGACAGGGTCCTGGGTACGGCTCTGTTTGTGCTTGTGCTTGTTCTTCTTCTTGGGAGGCTGAATGTGCATCAGACGACACTGCTCTGGCAGCTGAAGGAACCAAAGGGAGGGCCAAGTGAGTGGAGGGAGGAACTCCCCTGCTCCCACCATCTGGTCTGCTCAGTAAGTGAGGAAGGAACGGACTTGGACAGAAAAACCACCTGCATGCCTTTCAGGCCTCCCCATTTGCCTTCTTCCTCCCCAAAAGGGGACTCACCGGGCCAGTGTGGAGGCGGAAGCCAGCCAGCATGGTCCCTGTGATAGGATTGAAAGAGCCACCAAGAATAGGGGGCTTCTCAATGAGGGAGCGGAGGCTGCTGTTATCATGGGAACCAGGCAGATCGATCATCCCTGGCAGGTCAGGCAGGAAGTTACTGAGCTTCTCCTTCACTTTCTTCCCACAGAATTTATTATAGTCATGTTCCAGGTTGTAGTGTGTAATCAGGTTGGTGCTGCCTGTCAGCTCGGTGCTGCCTAGAGGACACAGGGAGAATAATAAAATATTAGTCCCAAAAGTAGAAAATTGTTTTACATCACCCAGAGGGGAAGTGAAGGACTATATTTTAGCCTAAATAAGGAATCCTTCAAGTGAGAATTACAAAAAAAATTATTTTTAAAGAATAGCAAAAGTAAATAACTAAAAATATAATATTATAGAAGGGTAGGTTGGAATGAGGAAAAAATAGGCAAAAACCCAAATAGGGCAGAGATGGAAACTGCTCTAACCCAACAAAGGAGACACTCGTCTCCTTGGACTAAGCACAGTAACTTTCATGATTCTTACTCCAGGGTAAACACTGATCTGAGTGCTTTTCATAGAACGGGCAAGTGAGAAATTATACTTTCTAACACGACCGGGATAGTAGGACCTCGCAGCTCAGCTACAACCAAGCTAAGGGCCAAATATGACCCAATGGCTTCCTTTTTTTTTTTTTTCCTAGCAAGAAACACTAATCACCTTTACACACAAAAAGCAGCCAGATTTTTTTCTAGCTACTGTTGTCTAACTTAACACCATCTTTATTCCTCCTCATAATAATGAGTATAATGCTTTTCCTAGAAAAAAGAATATTTGATTAGAAGTTGCACAACTAGAATTCTAACCCTAGCTGTCTTCTATGCTTCTGTTTCTTATCTATGGAATGTGGTATTAACGATCTTAAGTACACTAACATTTTTTGCAAGGTTCAAAGGAAAACATACTGAAAAGTATAAAGTATTATATAAATGTAAGGCTATCTCGGTATAAATAATGTATATCTGACTTTTGCCAAAGAATATAAACTTATTAGTAATTGAATAAGGATCCCAGTGGCAAGGGTGGAAATATCTAGCCTACCAGTTCATCTAGAGTTATGATGAACACAAAGGGTAAAATGAAAAAGTGGCTTTAAAAAATTTTTTTATTGTGAAATACACATTTTAAAAAA